ACAGTGGATCATTTGGGAAAAAGGAGGAGAAATTAAGATTAGTTGGGAAAGATAATGAACAGCATGTTTTGCATCCATGGTCATTAGATTAGTGTTTGCACTAATGAAAAGATGAAGCTTTTCGCAATTGCTGTTGGTACACACGTGATTCACTGTTGATAGTTTGAGGGCGCTGCTTTTTGATAAAAATTGTGCATTCTTTGAGAATTTCTTTTGTTGAAAACTATTCGAGAGAATTATCTGAAAGATAGAGGTTTATCAGAGATATTCTTCGAAAAAATATTTTTTTATAACAGAAGAGGAAAACTGAAAAATTGAGCTATACGAAAGTGTTATGAAACTTGACTGAAAATGAAACTAAAGATAATTTTTAAAATTTTAAAGAAGATAACAATCCTCTTTTTTACATACTAAAATGAAAATACAATTGAAAAATTATATACGAACAATTTCACGAAAGTTTTAATTCAATCAGTTTTTTTCATATCAATTGATTTCTTTTAAATTTTCTACGCAATAACAATTTGTAATTTACTTTATCTATATACGAAAATATTTTATCGCAGTAGAAGAATGTCTTATTGAAAATATAAAAAAAATCACTGACTAGTTTTTCACAGTTTTCTTAAAGAACAAAAAACAAAAAAAAGAAAATTCTTAGAGAATTCGTTGTGCGTACCCTTTATATACATTAAATGGATAAGATTAACACTCAATGTGTAACACTTCATCGTTTGAAAATACTCCATAGTTATGGTAGTTGTATCACTGCACTGAGATGTGAAACTTCGCGTAGTTCTCTACATACAATATGATTCTTTCAGGCTTCCCACTTAATCATAGATGAAAGTATCTTATCTATTTGAGCTTATCTATTTCATGAAACTTTAGAAAATGGTCAGTAGCTTTGATCGATTTGAGCAATCTTGCAACGAATAATTATATACAAATTCTTAAAGAATTTCCGAGAAGAATTTACGAATTCTTGACAATTTTTACACTGCATTGTGATTTCAGTTTTCGAGACAACCGAAGCAACGAACGGGAAGTGTCTGGTCGAGCAAGTCTTCCTTGAGCACCGGTTTCCGGTACCATGGAGGAAGCTTGGTACCAACCACAACTGCTCCTAGTCCAGAGGCTGCAAGAACTTATTTATTCGAAGGTAGAGCTAAATCTTCCAGTATTTGATTAAACAGATGAATAACCACTATCTAAATATTTCTCTTTAATATCTTTTTTTTTTTATTCTGATTACTTTCCTCTTGTCTCTTTATTATAATATATTTTCAATATATTTTTCTATATGTATTAAATAATATTAAGTAATATAATGTTCAATATATTAATCTATTAATCTAACATATTTAATATAACTAGTCTAAATAGTATATTTTCTGTTTTTCCCTTTTCTGATTATTAAGCTTACAATTAGGTGTTTGTACGAAATTTAAAAATGCGTACTACAAATACGCAGAATATGTTTAATATGCAGAAATATATAAAATATTCAAAGTACTCGTTATAATCTTTGACAGCTAGAAATCTCTATTATTTAGTTACGTTCACAAAAATATAAATTTACTGAAAATTTATTATGATCATTTCATAATTGATTCTTTTAACATTTCTCTATTTCATATTATACCTTGAATTATCCTCCTTGTTTGTAAAATTTTCTTCCTGCTACGAAACCTAGCTACCAATCTTTTATCATTCTACTAAAATTTAAAGCGACTTAATAATAATATTACTATATTTATACATAAAATTCAATAACATTATTTTATGTACTTTCACAAGTAAGAAATAATTCTCCACGCAGGCTTGTTAGGGAAAGAAAGATCTTCGCTTTGGGACCAGATGCAATTTTGGGAGGACGCGTTTCTGGACGCGGTGTCTCAAGAAAGGGACATGATCGGCATGGATCAAGGCCCTAGAGAAATGATGGAGAGGTGAGCAACGAAGACGATTGACACGTTCATGATTTAGACATTTCCGTGATTTCGAATTTACTTGCATTCACAGGTACAAGAGTTTGAGCGAGAGTGAGAAGAAACGACTGGAACACGACGAGGATAGATTGTTGTGCACTCTGTTGCATAATTTAACAGCGATTCTAGTAATGTTGAACGCGGACAAGAACGAGGTGAAGCGTAAAGTGAGGAGGCTGTTGGGAAAGAGTCACATCGGCCTGATTTACAGTCAGGAGCTCAATCAACTTCTCGACCAAATACATAATCTCGTGAGTAGAACATTCGATTGTTGCAAATTATTGGAAATTCTAAGAATTCTTCGATATAAGACATTTCTTAGAATGATGGAAAATATCAACAATTTTTATAAAATACTGGAATGTTTTAAGCTTTTTTATCCTGAGATATTATAGAACGTTGAAACGTTCTTCAAATTATTGGACATTTCTTGAAATGTTAAATAAATTTCACTAAATAATCGAACATGTCAGAAACCTAAGAAAAATTGTTACAGAATGTTTACATCGATGGAAATGTATTTTTTAAAATACTGAACAAACTTTAGAATTCCTCGGAGCACCAGAATATTCCAAAGATCTAGGAGAATTGGAGAATTCTAGAAAATCTTGAAGAATGTGAAAATTTTCAAAAATATCGAAAAGCTCGAAAGATCATTTTTGTAATGCTAAGGAATTTGAAAAAACTACTTCAGATTAAATTTCAACAGTATCAGACGATTCTACGAGTCTCTGATTAAAATTCTGCAAGGCTAGATCGTTATGTTAGAGAGTTTAAAAATCCACAGCATCGAGATAGCTTGCGAAGCTCCACGAAACGCAAGAAGATCCTAGATAAAGGATATTTCATGTTTTCAGTATGGAAACGACATAGACTTGAAGCCTCTGACATCCAGGCAAATGCATCGTCAATCTTTTACCGTGCACGCCGGCGTTGATGCAGAAGGTGATCTACGATTTCTCGAGGTGCGCCATGATGGCCTTGTCCTGAGATCTGTAAACGGCGTGATCGTCGAACGATGGTGGTACGAGCGTCTGGTGAACATGACCTACAGTCCGAAGAACAAAGTACTGTGCCTTTGGCGGCGAAATGGCGGGCAAACTCAACTGCATAAGTATTATACTAAGAAGGTACGCAGTGCATAATACGGGTGGTACAGATCCTATGGAAAATTCAAGTTCATTTTCATATAATTTTTATAGAGCTGGGATATAAAAATATAATAACTTATTTCCCTATATTGAAAATTATTATACATTCAATGATCTTAATGATCTTTCATTGAGTTTACTTTATTTTTCCACAAGCATGGAAATTATATTATTGACGCTTCACACATGTTTCAAAGAAGTCTCTCCTCTGTATCAGAAAAATCCATAAGAAAATTATCATCCGTAACGAGAAATCATAAATATTCATATTAATCATAACGAAAGAGAATTTGTTGTATTTTTTTAGCTGTCGTCGTCGCCTCAGAAAGATTTTTCTCAAATGTGTAAAAAATAAATAAGGGAAAGAAAAAGGGATCCAGAAGAAATTATAAACCAACTGATAAGATGAATATTTTTTTTTTAGTGTAAGGATCTGTATTACTGCATAAAGGACGCGATGGAAAAGGCAGCGGCCCGCGGTCGTGGGGCGAACGTGGGCATCGAGCTCGGCGGCGAGTTTCCGGTCCAGGACATGCGCACCGGCGAGGGCGGTCTTCTTCAGGTTTGCATGGAGGGCGTGGGTCTCCTCTTCGCAAATAGCAAGGTATGATTCGCAGCCGAGAGCGTCCACCAAGCGTTCATACGTTTCGAAACGAAACTGCAAGAAGAATGGAATCTTCGAATCTTTTAACCGGTTGTTGCAAACACCTGTTTTCCTATCTCTATCTATCTATCTATCTATCTATCTATCTATCTATCTATCTATCTATCTATTATCTATCTATCTATCTTTTCTTTATACATTGTCCAATTGTTCATGTAATGTTGAAAGAGCATCTGAAATTCTCCACCATTCTATATTGGGTATACTATACTATTATATGTATATATATCCGATCCTTTATTATCTATAGCAGAATTTTTTTATTTATATATCCACTACTGTTTTTTTTTTTCACTATATATACAATGTCATGTCTCTCCTTTGGCGATGTTATTGTCTCGACTATAATATGCTCCAACACCAAAGTATAATCATGTATTTATTTCAGCGACCGAAAAATCACATATGCAGTCTGAGAATTAATTGATGGGGGTTCGTTTTACTAAGCTGCCTCGATTCAATGTCGCGGACGGAAATTCAATTGTCGGAAGGGAAATTTTATTACTCCCAACGAGAGAGAGAGAGAAGGTAGAATTGAGAAGCTTTTTGGAAAAACCGAGACACATAAAACAGAATTCAGTTTTAATCTTTTAATGTCATCTTTAATACGTTTAAATTGATGATTGTAAAGGTCCTTAACTTGTTAACTAGAGAAATAATGAATAATTTCTTGGATAAAATAATTTGTTTATTTAAAGATGCTCGCAAAATTTTTATATTAATAAATTGTATTGTACTTAAATTTGAAGAGCTCGTCTATAATGATTTGTATTAATATTTGATGGACTCTAAAATATTTTAATATATTAAAGACCGGCTAGTTGACATTATTATAAATAACTACCTTAATATTAATACGAGCCACTGTAATTGAAAGTGATTTGTTTCCACTAATTTATAACTACAAAAGTCCCTAATTAAGAGAGAATCCGGTTAACAGGTTAAGGAATTTTTATATTTACAACTTGAATAAAAATTTCATAATAATTCAACTACTTGAACTTGCTCGTTTCTATCTCACATTGTGGATCGCTTTTTCTTTTAAAATTTAAAAATAGACCAGAGAGCTTCTTCAATTAATCTCGATAGAAAATTAACAGACGAAGCTTAATTTTAAAAGAGGGAGGAAAATGTTGAATCGAGGCGAACGTTAAGGGAGCAAATCGTAGTAGCTCCGCCGTCAGAACCACCCTCAAAACCCTTTTACTGTTCATATTCTTTCAATATTGAATTCTTCTCTCTGTGTATTACTCTTTCGTTCCTTTCTTCCGTTTTATTGCATTGATGCAAGGACCACTCAATATTATCTCCCATCGCTAGCCACCACGATCTGCTTAATTTTGTATCTGTACGTATTATTATATCTTTATCGACTCTTATGTATATGAGTTTGTGAGATGTACGACGACGGGATAGAATCACACGAAGCTCTGACCACACTCCTCCAAAAAACAAAAAAAAAAAAAAAAAAAAAAA